TTTGCGTCAGCCACATGTAATTACTTCGAGTTTTGATTGGTTCAATGTATTGTCTGTGTCCTATGTGATTGGCCAGAGTAATTACTTTGGTTTTGGTTTTACGACACTCAAACGAAAACCACTCTAACGCACTAACTGTTTATGAAATGAGCTTAGCTGCCACGACGACGGCAACGCGAATGGCAAAAAAGGAATATATAGTTAAGCAAGACAACGAATTCGCACGTGCACGTATTAAACGCGATTTTTACTTTTTTGTACATTTCTCTACCCTCGTTGCACGACCACCTCTGGAGGGCGTGAAAACAAGAAAACGATTTACTAATTCCTATCTTCTGGATTCAGGAAAATTCACTAACAATTTCACAAATTGATTGACAGGCAATAATAGGATGAATTTTAAAACAGCGTGAATTCACTTTTTAAGAGAACTGTTGGCCACCATCGTCGTCGTACAGCGAGGTCTTCATATGTCTGTAAAATCCCAAATACGGAGATTTTACTGTTTCTCGACTGTCCCAGAATTTGCCGACAATCGCAGATATCCCTGATTGTCTGGGACGGTCGGCGACAAATCTGGAGAATTGGGAACGTTTGTATTTTCCCGACGCGTTCCAGATTTCTGCAATGGCCGGTGATCATTCCCGACAAATGAAAACAAAAATTTGTATCGTCGGGGCCGTCGGCGATGATTTCGCTCATTACCAACCCTCTAAATTGCTAGGCTCCAGTCTCCCTATCATACATTTGTGTACAAATTTCAATTTTTGGCGCACTTTTCATTTCCCGCCAAATTCAATATTGGGAGAATCTGGGGCAGACCTCTGGCGATTATCCGATATATCGGCAAAATCTGGGACGGTCAGCAAAAAGTAAAATCCCCGATCGCCTGAAATTTTCCTGACATATGAAAACCAGGGTTTACGCTCCCTAACTACTGACAACAGCATCTTACGCGCTTGCTCATGGGTGTTAAATCACAAGTAACACAACATAAAAAGGCATTTAGTCAGAGTAGTTTAAAACTCCACTGTATTACCGTGTGATGAGAATGTAAATAAATGCCAGAATCATAACAAGAATCATCCCACTAAAGAAAAGACAAACAACCGTTAACACTCAAAGTGAATATAATTATGATCTACGTTTACAAGAAAAGTTCCTGGAAAGAGGAATGCAATGTTTTTATTATTATTAGAATTTTATCCAGTTTTTTGGTCAGGCTTTGCCATCGCTATTTTTTTTAATTCTGGAGTGTAGTAAGAGATTGGACTACGACTGCAGGGTTGAAATCAAGGACAGGAGTTTTAACACCGACTTTGATGCTTTAGATAATTACAATCGCACCACTCTTAATCCTTTAATCCCCCTTTTGCTGGCCAGTAAAAGAAAATGTTGCTGTGAACAATCATGGCTTGAGATTCTACAGTCGTTCACGCACTCAGTCTCATCATT